TAGAATCCCTCGACATATAATGCTCCCGTTACTTCTAGGCTATATATATATATATATATATATATACATATATATACTCTTTATTATACACCAATACACAAATAATAGGAGTAAAATAAAGAAAAGAAAAATGTACAATAGGCGGCCTTATCGCTAAAACAGCGATCTCTTCCAGGCAATGACGAAGAAAAACAAATCTTTCTAATAATAATGGAATAATTATTACATTGAAACTATGAATAATATGGATTGGTTATTCTTAGAAACATATACATAAATTTGATTTGATTTTATTCTCCGAATTTATGTACTAATGAATTTTCGGTACTGCTTCAGAAAGATATTATAATTTACTTAAAAATTCTGTAGTGTTTAGCTGGAAATAATAAAATCATTCCTTTGTAATTCCAAAGTACCAGAAACCATTAGTTTTATACAATAAAAAATTGAAATTTTTCGTTTGTTTCAGTCAATAGAAAAACTCTTGGGAAATTTAATAATGATATCAATAATAATTTGGTTTATGATAATTTAATGTAAAGGCTTCTATGGTATAATATGACGGCAGCTTTTTAAATAAAATAGATTGCAAATTATATGATATGATTTTTTATTCATTATTTGAGTGTAAAGTTTTAAGAAATCTGACATGGCTTATTCTTTTAATTGGTCGTTCCAATTCTTTGAGCCAAAAGTTTCGACGGTGACTAAAAGAAAAATATTTTGCTGATAATTGCGGATTTGGGTAGTTTCTAACAAGTTTATTGCATCATTTTTATGTTTAACAAGATATTATACATAATATAATGTTAACTGACTCTTTTGAGACTGATTTGCCTGAAACACTTATTTGGATCCTATAAAATGTTTAGAAAAAGGGCGTCTGGTAATTGGGGATACAATTTTATGCTATTTCGTTCCGCGTCAGTTTGAAGTATATAAAGTGTTTGGAAGGTAGGCAATTCGTCTGGTAATGGTTCGCTTTGAGACCTGCGACACACCTCTGCGTCACCGACAATGAACACGGGCCGGATTTTGATTTCGAGTCTTACGTAAACTATGTTTCAAACTTCGAAGTTTAAGTGGTTAATTTAGGTGATGTATTAAAATTACTGTTTAATGTAGAGTTATTCATGCAATTTTCATAATGTTTCACCATTAGCTATTCAAAACAGTGAAATGTACACCAATTTTAACTGTTACACTCTTATGGCGATGGCGTTAAGATTGAAAACTAAAGTATTGTATTGTTATAAAATACGTTGTGTGTTCAACCTTTTAATTTACAGGTAAAGTTTCGACGTTCATTTAGTGGAGCTATTTGTTTATTCTTCGAATTTATGTACCTTTACGCTCAGTTAGTCCGGCGCTGAAAATAAAAGGATGTGAAAATTTGTCGAGTCGCGGTCATAAATATACGAAAGCAACTGAGGGTTCCGCCATTTTCCTGTTGACAAAATTGTGCCTGCTATATATTCAAAGTTGTGAAGTTTCCTCTGTTTATGACTGATCCGCAGATTGTCAGTTGGTGAGAATATGTCTGCTTATGAAGTTACGGTAATATTTAGGACGTACGTTTTGTGCACCTTGATTTTCATTTTGAGTTAAACCACGTTGATATTTTTTTATTTTTCAGCTAACAAAAATTAAAAGTATTTATTTTTTATAATACAAATCAAAGGTTTCAAAAAATTTCATTGAACATTTTCGTGTGCCTGTGTCCTTGTAATCGATATCGTCCATTGAAACGGTGTCGAGCACATCTTGAAAAGAGAATAATCTTGATGAAACGTCTGCTATAAAGAATAACGTTTTGGTCGAAGCTTCACGTTATCACCGAAATAAAACGGGTCTTCTGACAAAAACTTTATTTCTCATTTCCAGATATTCTTTCATTTCAATCTTGAGATAAATTAGTTTTTGCTGGAACCCGAAAATACATTAGTTTTTAATTTAGAAAAGTTTAGGATAACGGTATAAGCTATAAGATATAATATTTTTAATAAATTTGATAATATCTTAACTAAACATCCACAAGATACTTGTATATTTCAATTATGAATATAATATAACAAGTTTGGTCTAATAAGAATGTTCAATTATGAAGTTAATTTCTAGGCTTACTTGAGCGAAACGAAACTATAAGTCTCATAAACAATTCCACTGAAGTTTTCTTAACTACGAAGTTAAACAGTTCTTGCGATTCGTTTAGTTGCCAACTTTAATTCTGTGATTATAGCTAAGATATCCCTTAACGTTGCTAATTACGCTGAATTATATTCAAATATCAATAGAAGTAATATTTTTTAGTATTACGTCATGTTATATGAAGTGTTTCTATGGCATAGTATAAACATAATATATAGCTAACATTAGTGTTTCGTAGTGAAACGTCAAGATTGAGATATGAATCTGATCATCTATGTCCTTCTCCAAAATTTCGGCAATGCTCCAAACACGTGTAGAATTTACTTAGCCACGGTTGTATTTAGACCGTGATTGGAATACGTTCAAAAATCTAAAATAATTTCAACTGCTATGTAGTTTTGAGAAAATTGTTTTACTTTATGTCATTTCAATTTGATATAACAAAGATTTTTTTTTATAATTATATTTGATACAGATCGATTTTGTGATATTAGTTAATCAACAAAAATGATATAGCATCTAAACTTAAATCATGGTAAGCATTTCTATTGGATTAAAGTTTTTTTAATCTGTGCCCAGCTTAATTCACCTTGCAGTTTCTGAACAAATAACGTATGTATGGCATTAAAAACAAATATTTCTTTAAATCAAGGTCGAGTGCTTCCGGGGTTATGCTAACGAACAGCTATTATGTTGCTCCCTCGTGTCACTGTGTGAAGGTTTTGCACTTTCGACCGAGTTGAGGGTTGGAGGTTGTTTTAGAAAATCATGTGCTCGGAAAATCTGCCAGTGTGGGCGCCCCCGGTGCCGTGAACGGACGCGTCGTGGGTTCGTATGATAAAATATTTTCATACATCGATGAACAATAACAAGGACGCGATCTGATCTTTATTACACGTGACATTTTATAAAGACTCAACCAGTGAAAAAATTTATCTGAAATTGATGAGTTGTTGGTTCTATTATGTTTTTTTGATATTTGGAATGTCTGAACTAAGTAAGTATTTGTATAGACATTTTTTTAATTTTCTATTTAAGGAGAAGTTTTGAGTTTAAACAAAAATATTTTCTTGTTTTTATTTCTAGAAATAATTACGGCTCTCTAATAATTTTGAAATATTTCCTTCTGTTATAAAGTATAAACTGATTATTTTAAAACTTTATGTAAATTAATAAGTAATTTTTTTTTGTAATTGTGTTTTATTATCAATTGAATATTAATTTTGATTATTCTTTCGAAAAACATCCATAAAGAAATCAAATATTTTTGTGACTATGCATATATTTCCTCACTTATAAATTATAATTCTTAAGTATAAAATATATTAAACATTATTAATTAATAATTTACATAATTTTAAAGATACTTAAATCCAGAGTAATAAATTAACATACAAAAAAGTATGTCTAATTCCACTTTGTACATAATCTCAAGAAACAACTTTTTAGTCGTACAGGATAAATATTTCAAAACATTTCCCACTTCCAATTGAAAACTCTTTGAAGTTCTAGCAGCAATTAAACAGTTTCGGACCAATTTCTACCAAATTCCCTGAGTACTGACTTAGTAACTGAAACATTATATTCTCAGTATTCTTTTTTATATAAACTCCTCGTTAATAACATATATGTAGGTAATCTATTTTCATTAAAAATAATTTAAATTCGTGTTGCCATATAAAATATTGCATGTCCATAACTTTAAATTTTAGGATGGCAATATATAAATTTGCACTACCAGATATGAAACTAAAATTCAAATTAACAAATGGTTCATTTGAAAGCGTAATGTCTGCTCGAAGTTGTGGAAGTCGTTATATTAATTACGTGCATTAATTAAAAATGAATGAAATATTTGAACGAAAACCCATTTCGATAATTTCACGTCTGTATGTATACAAAGTCAAAGGATGGCTATCGGCTATCAGCGGTCCTCAGCTAAAGCCCTCGCCAGAAGCCTCGCACTAATATGCCGATGAAATCGGTTGAGGGTTCATACAAATCTCTAGGGCATAAACGTATGAATGATGCTAATTCAGACACTATTACATCTGTGTAAAGCTTAAAATTCTGTGTACTGTTATTTTTGTGTGGTTTATCGTACACAATCACAAAATCTTGATGCTAAATTGTTCTAGATATAAAATGGAAAAGGGGATATTGGCTGTGATATGGTTACTATAATTGGATAGGGGAATCTTAAATTCAACTTGGGAATAAATTATAAAAAAAAGTTTAGGGCTGTATTTAAATATTTATGTATATTGCGTGTGTATATATTGATAATGAAAAATTTGTTTTTATTCTTATTACTTGCACACTAGCAATCCCAGTGAATAAAAGTTACTTAAAGTCCCACGAGACTTCTCTAATTATTTTTAAGTTAGTATGTAATATTTTTAAATTCCCATTGTATTTCCGAAATCAATTAGAAAATGTATAGGTATACTTTAATCTATAAAAATTTATTATATACGAGAAATGTATCTGCAACATAGTTAAACGTCAACCATTAATATTATGATGATAAATAATATTAAATATTTTTTATATTCGTCACACAATGATAGTGTCAACTAACGCGGGGTTGCCTCGAATGGGACAAGTTTGGGTTCGGACGGACGCAGTACGCAATTATAAGGGGCGGCTATCAGCATTTACATTTTAATTTAAATTTCGTTGATGAAATTTAAGATAAATTCTAATGTTTACCGTAACTCAACCCTCCAGAGATGGGATCTTAGTTTAATCTGAACGTATAACATAATTTAAAAATCATTCCAACAAATCTGAAACTCAGGCATTCGTTCAAATATTGTTATAATACAATGCATATAAAAAATATATTTTTTTTATCTCATAGAAATCCGAATATGAGATACTTGTACTTCGAACATCGTCAATATCGACATCGGAACGGGAATGTGAAGCTCAGATTCGTTAGTCGGTAAAAAGAAAATAATGCGAAATACGGATTGAAGCAGAGAATGGTTCTCATAGCGGAATAACAAAAGGAATGCAATGGGGTATCGTTTGACGGGACTGGTCTCGTAGCTCGTAGCACCGCTCGTAGCTCGTAGCCCGTAGCTCGTAGCTATCATCTGGATCAGTGTAGCTTTGTTTCGATTGTTAAAACCTTTTATTAATGTTGCCAGACACACTTGACGTTGTACGGCATATTCAATATTTTTATTACTATAATTTTAATTGGGTATGTATCATTCTCTTTTTTATTAATATGACAATGTTCTATATATTAACATTATTATATACGTGAATTAACTTATTTACAATTTAATATGCGGACAAAAGATATTAAATACTTTTCATACAGTTGTGATTTTCATTGTTCTATTTCCTATCACAAAAGTAGTGATAGTATTAGTTTCGCTTAATTAATATTATTATGCTTTAGAATATTTTTCTAATAAAATATAAAGTAAAATATGGCCGCGGTCGAGTTGCGAGTTAGCGGCTGGATTTTATTGCGTAACCGAAATATGTCACTGAATTTTAATGTTCCACGTCGCGGTGATCCGTATTAGGTGAAAGTTTTTTTATTAATAACAAAAAAATTCAATTACATTTTGATGAAAAATAATGGAAAATTTGATGGTATCGTCAATTTTGAACAAATAGGTTTCAGACGTGATTTTTCATTTAATTTAACTTTAATATAAAATAAGTTCTATGTACAGGCCCATAAAGATGAGCTGGGTAACAGCAAACAAATCTTTTCATTGGATAGTTTCAAGTAAAATACTTGTTAATCAAGTCATTTGCGTGTCATATGCAAGAGTAAACGACAAGTCTCAAGAGAAATGTATTAACAAGGGATTCTCCACGGAGCTTCATAATAATAGTCATTGATATATCCTTTACACTATTTACTATTTGAAACTATTACAACTCATAATAGTGTTTGAATCTATGGTAATCTTTTATAAATTAGATGAATAAGTGATCATCGTTTGTTACAATTATTGTTTCACAACTATGCGATATACTAAAGTATGAAAATTTATCATAAAAGTCGTAAATATTAGAAACACTTAGTTTTTACTCGCGATTTTGTCGGTGTTAATGTAGGATTAGATTTAGAGAGAAACGATGTACAGCCAAAGATGTCCTCTGACTTGACAAATAACCACGAAATAATACGTCTATTTTCTAATTAATTGTAACATATATGTCGTTCTGATCAATCAGCTGTATTAATCTAAGGTTAAATTAAAATTCAATGATTAGTTTTCTCATGTGAGAATTATAATTTTTAAAAATAGCGTTAATAATATTATTAGGATTTATGAACCATATCTTGTGATCTCTAGGTTCAACATAAAGGATGAAGTGTAATCATCAATATTTATACCTGCTGTTTAAACAGATAAATCATTATGGGGTATTTATGAACGTGATTATGTATGTGTAAATGTAGGCATTTTAGTGCTTAAATAAAGCATAGTAACACACTATCTCACTCACACTAACGCACACACACACACACACATATACTAGACTTGCTTAGGTAAGGTATTTAAAATCCAGATATGTAAGATAATTAATTTAGGATCATAGAACATAATAATATACAAACGGAATTTTAGTTTTGATGCAATGTTTATTTTTTTAATTTACAACCTGTGGAAATAATTTATAGAGAGAAACAGATTGTTTGACTAAAAATTCATTTTTCTTTATGCTATTATATCGAAATTAAAAGTATTATTGAATACCGATGGAATTGTTGATAAAAATAAACATGATTACTGTTTAATACAGTTATTATTCAGTCATTACATGTGTTCATTCACACGTAGAATTATAGATTTTGTTAAAAAAGATCGACCGTTCTGGGAATGGCTAACAAGCGATATTAATGACCAAGGGATACAGAGTACCAGAGAAAATCAAAAGGCAAACGGATGAGGGCAAAGAAAGTTTTTTCTTTTCCTTATGTCGCTATTAAATGTGTTTGTACCTTGTAAGGGTAAGTTTAGTAATACATTTTTCTGCGAAGGTTCCACATGTAAAATATTAACTTTGTCCATTATATACTTTAATATACGATTTTTGATATATATAGTAATGTAATTTTTGAAAAAAATACATATTAGATTCGTAATTGATGTTATAAAGGTTTAATAAGTCTACAGGATAGGTGTAACTGTGAACAATAGTTTAAATAATGTTTAACTTCACTAGTAGTAGTTACTTTTCACTATTAGTTCACTGCTAGTAGTTTAACTTAGATTTTTTTTAGCTTCACTAGTATGTTTGTTTGTATGTAATTAAAGTCTTTGAGCTTGATTTTGCACTACTTCTAGTGATCCTATTTTTTACCTTACACATCTAATAGGGAGCAATTGGTGACAATGCAAAAATTGGATTTAATTGGTCCATTGTTATCGATAGAGGTTTATCTTCCAAGACTTTAAGTAGTAAGATATATATTGAAATTTAATTAATAAAATAACTTTTTGACAATATTTTATCAATAGTAACAACTCTTTTCTTTTATAGCTAATAATGGCTTAACTCCATAACAAAATTAATTAGTTGAGATATGAAAAGTTGCCTATTTTTCATCTAAAGCCACGAAAATAATGGTTAGTCGTAGGTTCAAGTTACAGTAAATAATTATGCGTCCACAAGCTTTGTAAAGGAACTGTTTTTATTTCGTGAACAATGTTCATACCCTTATAATATCAAAGTTATTTTATATAAATATATAATAGACGATATATTATATTTTCAGTTGAGTGGAAACAAAACATAATGTAGGTAATTCATATTGATATTTATAAACTCTTATGAATTGTGAATTTATATTAACATTTATGGGTCAGTATTGTTGATCTTAGAGGAAGACGCAATTGTTTTAGAATGAGGGATTTCAGTAAATAACAGTTTTGTTATAAATAATATAACGCAAAATATTATATCATCAATTTCCATCGTACAATTCAATCAAATATATTCCACATGTTTTAATCAATACAGCCCATGTTAAAGAAAAATTTTAAGTTATTTGTTTCAATTAATAAAAAAAGTATTTCCATTTAAAATTGTTACTGAAAATTAACAAATACGGCATAACGTTTTTTAACTGTGAACGGCAAAATTAATGAAACACAGCACTTTAATCTCAGTCCAGAATATTGAACTGGTCTTCAATGAGAGGACTTTTATTTCTCTGTAATCCGATTCATATGAAATTATATAATATACAACTGAATAAAATGTTGATATAATATTTTATTAATTAGTCTACTTATAACTAAGTATAGTTGAGAACAACTAGCCTCTATTTTCATATTAATTACAGATCTAATATACAATTTATGTTCTAATTCATTACATGGAAGCTTAGAAGTATATTTTTCTTTCTTATTCTTTTCTTTTCTTTACTTATTTTCTATCTTAATTAAGATTCTATTATATCCGGGTTTTCAGTTTTGAATTGTCAATTAAAACGTACGACTGAAATATAAATATAATATATCAAATGCCTTTATTCGGACTCCCATTCATCATTGAAATAGCAATCAGTGGGATGATACATATTTTAATTAAGTTTCTGAAGTCTCTTCGTATTTTACGTTTGCAATATTACTTACACAAAGACTAATACATCTATAATCTGTGTTAATTACTTAACAGATATACAAGTGTATCTTATATTTACTAAATTTAAAATTAAAGTAAAATATTCACGAAGATTTAAACTAAATGTGAAAGTGAAAGTTTAAATTTAATAAGTTTCCTTGTTAGAGTGATTTCCTGAAAGAGTTAGGAAAGGATGTGGCGACGTGTCAATGTAATTTGTAACAACGCGAGTCAAGATAATTTAAAGGAAGGGCACCAGGTGCATTATTTATTATAAATTCTAAAGCAATAATTAAATTTAAAGTGTGTGTCTATATTCAAAAATGTTTCAATGATTTATATGTTAGGGTAGGATATGTTTAAAATTTATTTGCTTTTTAATATGAACGCATTTAATAACTCACAGATAGGGTTACAAAATTACGTTTCCTTTAACGAGCTGCCTTTTCCAAAATAGTTACTCTTGTGTGAAAACCAGTAACATCTCCCAAATCATTTTCCGAAATCCAGAAATGAGCATTAAACGGTTTGTCTAAGAACTTTCAATGTTTTTAAATTTTACTTTACCTTTTAGTTTTACAAGTGGTAAAGAGAATAGAAAAAAACACATTCACACCTAATATTAAGCTTTTACAATACGTCGACAGTTACTATCTCCAGCTATAACCATCTCCGACAAACACGTTAGCCGTTGCTGCAAGTTTTATTTGAAAACTTTGTTTTGCTCTTCGTTGCGCGGCTCTGCTTCGTTTGCCCGATAACACAACTTTTACACGGAGACTTAAAGTCAAATATTCAAGTTATGGTATGCTGATTTTGTAGAATAAATTATTAATATAACGGCATGCTTATAAAATAATAATATAAAACTTTATTTACACAAGGATGAATTTTAATGTTTTTTTTTGCTGTCTTTTTTTTGTATTATTCTATTTTAATTGGTTTGATTATCATTATATTTATTTCATTAATTTCAACATCACGAATACAGAACACCCTGCGTCTTTGTGAGAGTAAGCAGAAAAAATATAATGGGTTGGTCTGGTTTTCCAATAGTTTTTTAACGTTTAAAAAAGTAAAATTCTGAGAATCTTAATTACTCCACCGTGAGATTCATTTATAGATAAAAAGAATTTTAAGCTCTATTTCTTTCAGTTAACGAGGTATTTTTCACTTTGTTATACATATAAAAATCGATAGTTCAACTTGTTATGTATAATATTATAACAAAAGTTTATAATAATAAAATTAATAATTCATTATAATACAAAAAAAAATTGTTCTAATGTTTTAAAAACTTAATTTTAAATAAGATCTATAATAAATAAATAAATAATTCATTCGAATTGCTGACTTCATTACTTACTGACATTACCCATAACAAATTATTGATCTATTTGTTAAAAGCAAAATCTGAATTTAGGCCAGTATTCGTGTAAATAGAGGAGAACTAACAAATTCATGTATGTACATATATATTGGATTAATTCAG